GGTTCATCTCGTCTGCGTTCTCATATAACCACGCGCGTTTCTTATTTTCAATTTTGTTTCACTCTGTTCACCACTATCAGTGCCAGTGCACATCACTGTAATCTGATATGTTGGGTTTAACGTCCCAAGACCACCATATGATTATGAGAACTGGCTAACCTCCCTGTCCTTCGTCTTTCATTCCTCCTCCTCCTATGAAAGACGCCGTAGCGGAGGGCTCAGGAAATTTTGACCACCCGGGGTTCTTTAACGTGCACCGAAATCTAGCACACGGGCCTACAGCATTTCCGCCTCCATCTGAAATGCAGCCGCCGCAGCCGGGATTCGATCCCGCGACCTGCGGGTCAGTAGCCGAGTACCTTAGCCACTAGAGCACCACGGCAGGGCGTATCACCGTAATCTAACTTTCCGTTTGCCAGCTATAAGGTCGGCCAAATAAACACTTTCATTTTTCGACAAGCCGTTTCTGCCTTCGTCAGCGTCACCACCTGGTGACAATAGCGAAAGAAACATCCGAACTAATTATTATTATACCATGGCCACTGCATGTGACGAGCGAGAACACTTACAGACAGTTTCACTTTCTCGACAGCACTGCGGTCGGTGGCAACGGCGTGCTCGTCGGCCATGGGGGATATTTCTCGGCATTGCCGACGGGGTCCCAACTAAAACAGCTTCGTAATTGCACTCGAAAACATTCGTTTCAGGCGTTAATTGACCCTCGCGAGGCAGTTCGTTCGACTAAGTTCCCGCCAGAAGCAGATGATCCGCGCACATGAGCAGCGGCTGCTGCAGCGTGGTTGAGAGCGGAGTCCTCGTTCTGACGTTACACAACAGAGGGCGCCACTTCGCGATGTCGAGTTCAATAGCGCGCACTGCCCCCTTTCCTGTTGCGTGTTTTCTAAACGGTAAATGGTTGCGTGCCAGCCTTCTATGTTTACTCGCGTACAGCCTTAACTTGTCAATGTAACAGTAGAAATGTGGCCAATGCATGTTAGCTTACATTTTTAAATACTGCTTAAGACTGGTTAGATATGACTAGGTGATTGCTACTTTCTTCCAGCGTTTACTTATTTTTAACAAACGCCGACCAATTTCGCCACGTGATCGGTGGTGACTCAACAATGCTAAGCGTTGGCTCATTTTGATTATCTACTGTGGATATTGGATTGGATTGAATAAACATGTGGTCCTCCAAAACACAGATCACTGTGTTGCGGGCAGCTCTCACGTGGGGACTGAGATGCCGAGCTCCTCAGCCACATTGCGGGCTTGGTGGACAGCCCAGAGCTGATCTGCCAAAGACGAGATGTGATCAGTATTTTTCACGCGCGTTTGTTTATTTAAAAGAAAATGTGGATCATTTTTGCCACATGGTCAGAGGTGGCTTTGCTATAGTAAGCGTTGCCTAATTCGGAATATTTACTGTTATAACAGCAGTAGTGCCTTCATTCTTTCTCCAGTACAATGATTTAGCTGTCTGCTTATTTTACACGTACTTGCTATCTTTTACATTCGTCTCATTTATGAGCGTTCATGGTACAATTCTGGCATTCACGACAGCGGAAAATGATGCATTCTGAAAAATTATATCGATATAAAAAAGTATGTATGCGATAGTAAATGTCGCAGTTCCTATGCCCTCGTGGATTCAAAAAAAGCAAACTGGGGTCATTCACACGTGATTTCTCAGAGTTTTTTTTTTAAGCTCCAAGCAGTTAATAGATGATCTACGCTTAAAATATAACAGGGAAATCGCGTGTACAAGCATATGTTTTTACTCATATTTACATTTGGGAATTTACGTGGCAAAAGCGAAATATCATTACGAGGCAAGCCGTAGTGAAGAGTTTCATATATTTAATCATTACTATCTGAGATTTCACGTCCTGGAACGACGACTTTATTAGATGGCGTAGCGCAGTGCTGTGAAAATGTCAAACATCCGGTGTTCTGTGAAGTGCAATGGCATCGCGCAGTATATACACCTCTGTACCATTTAGCCTTCATCGAAGTGGTCGTCTAATTGAACGATTCGCTTGTGTTCTAGTGCGTGTCTTTTGAATTAAAAAAGTCTCAATATAATATAACCTCGAAAATAGAAGATTTTCATTCATAGATATCAGCATTACATCTCCGTCTCTCTTGGCCTCCTTAACCGGGAAGTTACTGGGAATTCATATAGAAGTGATAACTTCTCAATAATTTTAAGCCCTCCAATAGCCAATTCATGTCCTCCACACGTTCCTAAATGGTAGACTGATGCAGTAGATCGGAAACAGTTTCGAAACCTCACTCCCTGAAGTTGGACTGACCTGTGCACCTTAAGCATAGAAGCTGCCATCGACTTCTTTACAGCTTTTCTTATCAATGCTGCAACCAAGTACATTCTACAAACAAAGAGAAAGTACAGAAAATGGCGTTTTCCGTCATAGAAAAACGACTGTATAAACGCACGCAAAAAGCAAAACAAAGACTGGAGGTTGCTGCTGGACTCTCCTTCAACAGGGAACCTCACAGGGAACCTCGCATAAAGTTGAAGGGCAGACACACGCCGACAAGCGAGGCAGGAAAGTTGGCAGAAGTTTCTATTAGGCATATCTTCATATACTCATGAGGCTAAGGTGTGGAACAGGGTCAGTAAGGTAATAAGCAGACTGGCATATTCAACCCCCCCCCCCCCCGGGAAACACGCAGGGCGAAAGCTTGCAAGACCAGGCGAACTTCTTGAGCCAACACTTCCAACAGGTGTCGAGGCCGATGCATTACTCGGAGGCCTTTCAGCGCTACAAAACAGGAATGTAAAAACAGGAACTGAAGGGAAAATGTACAAGATATGAAGCATACAACGAACCATTTTGTTTACCTGAGCTACGGGCCTCTTTAAACTATTGCAATAAAGCCTCCCTAGGCTCAGACCGTCAAGTAAATCAAATGCTGCAAAAACCTATCTCTCGTAACTCAAAAGGCCCTACCTTCCTTGTACATTGCTATCTGGTTTTCCGGCGAGAAGCCTAATTCGTGGAAAGAGGCTATTGTCATCTCAGTTTTGAAACAGGGCAAAAATGCTTCTTCAGTCGACGGGCCCAACGCAAATAGGCCTCGCAGGTGCGATTGGCTACAGGCTCATCGCACCTGCGAGGGCTACATGCGATGGTGCGATGGGCTACAGGCCCATGACACAAAACGCTGCCTATACAAACTTTTCTAAAAAAAATGGTAAACCACAGATTTGTGTGTTTAGAAAAAAAGGGGGTAACGATTTAGAGTACTATTTGTACTCTACTGTGGGAGAGCATAAAGCCGTCCCTAAAAAAGATGCCGCCTCGCAGATTTATCTATTTCTTTCGAACAAACAATTTGCTTGACTAATTGCAGTGCGGTTTTGGAGGTGATTTATCCGCCTCGGCCCACTTGATATGTATCAAGTCAAAATTTTGAGACGCTTTCGTACACAATCTGCGCGTGACCTTCCAATTCGTTGCTATCACGTTCATTGCTTCGCCTTTGTGGCAAAGTGGTGACTTTTATTGTACGTTACACAGATATAAATATTTAGCATCCATCGTACCTTAAATATCACATTTCACTTTCGCAATACCACAATGTGCATCAGCTACTTTCTGCGCAAGAAGTACCGTATTCGAGCAGTTGGCCTATGCTGTTAAAGTGGAGGTATGTACATCCTCGACGAAGTTACTCTGCTAAGCTCTCATCCCAGGAAAGAAATTTTGTTGCGTAGAATTTTCCACGACACATCGATTTCCGATGTGTCGAATTAACCACTTCGTATCTTCTAACATTACAATATCTGGAGTTTTACGTCCTAAAACCAAGCTGTGGGTTTGAGGGATGCTGTAGGGGAGGGCTCCGAAAATTTCTAAATAGTGTTCTTTAACGAGCATTGAATTCACAGCCTCCATAGCGTTTCGCCCACACCGAAAGGTGACCCTCGAGGCCGGCATCGAAACTGCGAACTTCGGGTCAGCATCCGAGCTCCGTAATCACTATAGTCCACCATGGCTAAGTGATTTCCTCTTTTTTAAGTCTTTTCTTTTTCATGCTTGGTGTTATATTTGCACTTCCGTTTGGTTTAATGCCATGCATGAACCGCATCGCTTTCACCGTCGCTGCACAGGCCCAGGACAGCGATACTTTTGCAGCAGTGATTTTCATGGCAAAACACATCACGACACAACCCCATGCCATCCACACGGTGCACGAGGTTTGTGAAAAATGGCGACCAGTGTCATGACACCAACATATTTATTCGCGCACTGCAAGTACTGTTTAGCACGACCTTAGATCGGCCAAATTGTATTCAAAGTCAGTTAGTGTTGCCTAAGTAATAGTTAATGCCGGCTTACTACATATGTATTGTCGGCTCTGCTGTTGCCACGAGTTGGGTAAGTGGTAACTATTGTCAACTAAATGATGGCAGACGTTCACCAGTATTGTAAATATCCCGTAAAGCCGACTCGCGTAAACTATTCGCTACTTTAAAAGCAGCATTGTCTTCATACTGCCTACACATGATGCGACCCTCGCATATTATAGACAAACACGCGAGGTGGTTGCGCCTGACTCATTTTGTCCCGGGCCCATCGCTGCGAGCGACAAATGTCAAGCGGGGCAATGTCGCACCAGACAGTGACTGGCGCGGCGTACGCCCGCGAGGACACGCGCATGCGCAGTGTTCTATGCTCGCTTTGTGTATTATTGGGCTCCCGCGGTCGACCCATCCTTCCTATAAGTCGGTAGTCATCAAGACGACAACTCGGCCGGTCGCCGAGCTGAATGACTGCGACACGCGGACCAAAAGGGGGACATCATACGCGCGCGCCTCGCGATGTCTTTTATTTCCTTATTTTCACGTCGCCGACGCCTTCATTGTGGCTGCCATTGTGGGACCCTTTCTTTTTTTTTTTTCGCCCCGTCCTCCGGCGCGTAATGAGGAAGCGACGCGCGACGACGGGGCGTGAAGGCAAGCGCCGACGTCTCCTCCAACATGGCGGCCTGCCTGAGGAGAGAGTGGACGAGTTCTCGCAAGACGCGACAGATTGTGCGCGATCGTTAAGCGCGTTCACGCGCACCCAGGTGGTTCTTCGAGTGGTGCTTTTGTTTTTGCTCTTCTTCCTCACCTTGTTTCTGTTTTTCTGGACTCACTCTCCGGTCGTGCTGGTCGTTGAATGTCCTTAAGTCTTCCGAGGAGCAAGCGCGAAGGTACAAGAATTGAGGTACGTGATTACCTAATTTCCCGTATCCATGCCTTCACTCGACTGTAGTCCGATTTTTGTTTTCCATTCCTTAATGGGGGCTTCAGTGGGTTGGGTTGTTGTTTTACGATTATGCGCAATGCACGGAGGCGGCAAGTTCATTACGGAAAAACATCCTTGCACGGAAGCAACCGCAAGTTTAGCCTTATCTCTTCTTTCACCCTTGCACCTTAATATGAAAGGGTGCCACGCTCTTGGAGCGTGTACCATGCGCGTGCATTCATTCAGGTTAGAGCATTGTTTAGAGCATCTCCCTTTGTCCTATATCAAGAACAAGTAACAGTGGCGCCGAAAGTTTAACGTGGGCATTGCTAAGAACTTTCAGATTTGCGATAGTGTTGAAAGAAAGAAAACAATAGTCTGAAATCCTAAATGCATGCGCGTCTAATCGCGCGAGAACTTTCGAGCGTGTGCACTACGTGCGGAGGCAACACAGTCCTCGTCCTGCACGGTCACACCAGGTTAGGCTTACCTTGACACTGAATATGTTCCTCGGAGCGTGGAGAATCAGCCAGCCCTTGTGTCCCCGTGAGAGCATACCTAATGAGTTCCGCTACCTGATTTTACCTACACCACTTATCGCGTACCGTACGCTAGCCGCAACCACCGTCGCCGACCATCCCGGCGCATATCGAGGTGCTGAGATTTCAATGCACGATTGAAATGTCCTTATAGGCTCTTGTTAAAGCATCTTCAAAGGTTTCTCGGTATTCGTTTCCCTTACTTCGGACGCTAAAGCACTGCACGAGAGCACTGAGTGATATTTCTGCTAAATAAAGTATCTGAAATACAGTAGGCGGTGCCCATTCTTTCGTCCCACTGCCTGCCGAAAATGCATGTGTGAGTCGATATTCCGTGGAGCCAAGATTCTAGGAAGAATCCGGAAGTAAAGTCAGCTCATGAAATCTGGAAGGCATACCATATAAAAAAAGGTAAATCAGTATTTGTGTTAGTTATACGCCCACGCCTGTATAAGTTACACGCCTGTACAAAAGTGTAAATTAGGTTTTCTGATATCACACGTCCTTAGCTGCAGCATGAGTGATAAGTGGTATCGCCTTGATACGTTCCCGCTATGTCTGTGCACCTCTGAGTTTATATATTTCATTAAAACATATGCAATAACGCTGTTCTTAGCGGCTGTCCTGTTCTCGCGAGTGTTCTTTTGTAGCGCAAAAAAAACCATATGTACTCACCCGACCCAATTAGCAGCAAGTTCTTACAAGGTAATTAGGCTGCATACAAATCAGCCACATGTTTGACACGCTTGCGTAGGGTGAGATCAATCATTTTGGTTGAAGCTTACAAGCTATGTGCGTGTGCTTCAACACTAATATCAGGGCGTCCGACTAAAATAAATGTTAATTACTCTGTGTAACTCGGTCCGGATACGCTTAGGGAAGATAGAAAACCTTTATTCGTGAGCAGTTTCTCGGTCTCAATCGTCAGCTCTGGGAATGTTTTGTCGAGCTGAACCTTGGGCTTGGGCATTTCCTGCGATGGTACCAAATGTGTGGCAAGAAGATATCTTTAAAGTGCGCGGTAATAAGTTTTGTAACGAAAAAACCTCATAATGCGGTCAAGAGTACTGACATCTGCTGTTTTTCCCCCTCTTGCTGCGTAATAGCAATAATAACCACTAGAACATTTGAGTACATCACGAAATGAAGTACGCTATCTCTTTTTTCTCATCAGATTGAATTGTTAGGCGACTTCAACTTTTATTTTTGGTATTTATCCTGACAGAGAAAGAGAATCGTTATTATAAAAACACGGGTTTTCGCCTCCTTGGCTTTTGCCAGGCTCTATATGCCACTGACTTCCTACTCTGTATAAACGGTTTCGAAATTGCAAGCGTTGCAGTAAAAAAAAAAAAAACTTCCGGTCACCTCATTTGCCAGCTTCTACCGTCGAAACTGAAAGCACGTTTTCCAGTTCTTTTCAAGGGTAAGGAAAATCTCTCTTTCGTTTTCCACATAAAAGACAATGCGTAAAGCACAAGGAATATCAAATAACTTTTACGTAGCTCAAAACAACATTTTTGGAATACATTTCGCCAAATAGAGGAAAGAAACTGTAGAAAATCAACGGGCGATTTTCGAAAGCTTTGGTTGTCTACCGATGTTATTAAGGCGTATCCGTGGACAAAACGAGATGTCTTCAAGGGCCTCTGTTTGTAAACAATGAAAGAAAATGACTAAAGATTTCAGAGGAGAGGGAAGCAAGTAGTGACAAAAATTAATATGTACAAATGTGAAATGTGGAATGGAACCTTATAAAGTACTTACACTTAGGGTGCCAGGTAATCGGAGATTTTCTGATGGGAAAATCTTTTATCATTACAGCCTTCCAACCAGGCTAATTTCGGACAGGTAATCGACTAATGACTGTGCAACCCGATGCAGCTTTGACGTTCCGGGCACTGGGCCTAATATGTTGTGCAACGGCAGCTGGTTGTGCAAATTATGTCCAGTTGCCGTACAAACACTTTCCTCTCGTCGCGGTACGTGGAGCATTCGCTTTGATATCGGACAGCAAAGCCTCATTGCGGTGGAGGAGAAGGAGGCAACTTGAGGTTCAAGTGTTAAAGTTCGTAGGTCGCCCAACTGACTCATGAGCATTGATTCAACTCACTCACACTCGTCCTTTGGATTTCGTGCCGAACCGGTTGTGCCCCCGCGATCTCCGACGACAGCGCACTCTGGCCGACTGGGATCGCCCTACGCCATCTCCTGCCGCCGACAAGAACTCTCGCTGAGTGGTTCCCCGTCCTCGGACTCTTGCGACCAGTGTTCATCTTTCCTATCTCCTCTTTATTTCCATAGTTTTCTGTCGTTCGCTGTCCCTGCGCCTCGCTCTCTCCTTCTCTCTCTATCTCTTTACCTTTTTATTCTATTCTATCAATCCCTCATATCCCCTATCCCTCGTGAGCTACTGCTGAGGTGTCGCACTGTGATGCACAAAGTTACGGGGCTCACTTTTATCTTCCTTTCTCTTTAAGAATCACATAGAAAAAGACTCACTCAGGGCCACATGTTTGAGTGAGTTCGTGTGAGCACTACTTTGTTTAGTCTGAGTGAGTCCGGTTGAGCAAAACTTTTGTGAGCCTCAGGCAGAGAGAGCCCTAGAGAGGCAACATAATTTTTCATAAGTGACTACGAGATAGCACCACAATTTTTGCAAAACGTTTGGTCAAAGCTAAACGTTTGCAAAATCACAGGCCTCGGGAAAGCACCAGATATAGCCAGGTATAGCCAGAAGAAAATCATAGTTTCCTGCTTATATATAGACTTCTGCGTGGGACATGACAGATCAAAGACGTTGCATTACGATGTTTATTGTAATTTAACTTCAATATTGTTGCCTATGTAGTTCAATTAAAAGTGATTAAATCGTTATTTTTATAGCTTTTGGTTTTGTTTTCAAGTAATTTCGCGTGATTGCAGCAAAAGCTCCAGCCACTTGCTATTTTCCTATCAATGTTGCTCAACGTACGTGTGTGTGTATATAAGGCAATCGAAGCGCAGTCACCCGAGCGTCGACGTCATATAAATCACGCATAGACGTGACATCGGAAAAATCGTGCGTTCTGGAAAGGACTTTTTTTTTGTCTCAGGGTGAACACGTGGCCAAGATTTGCAATCACCTTCAAACACTCAGAATTGCCCTTTGCCTCTGCAAACTCACTTTGTGTCCATTCAGGCAATTATCAGGTAACCTCGTCGCATACATTGTCGCATCCACAGTGTACATGCTCGAACATCTGCATTTGTAAATCGCATTCATCCGCGCCTTACGCCCATTCATTTGCCCACTGGCCGTCCACTTCTCCATCAGCGTTCCAGCCATGAACACTCGGCCATTGTGCTGTTTTTCTTTTTTTTAGGGGCGAAGCTCCTTAAGGTCGAGCCATGTCCGCTGTACGTCGTCCCTCAATGACGATGACTCTGATGACGATAAAAACAAAAGCACGTTCCAGACCACACGTTACCTCTCTGCCATCACCGCACAACACATACTACGCACCCACTATACGTCATGAAGATGGCGACGTCATTCGTCATCATGCTAATAAGCGAGGTACCCACCACATATCTTTAAGGTCTTTTGTGTAGCAGTAGCACAGACAATTGGGCGGGTTGGTATTAGTACATCTTTTAACTGAATAAGGACGCACACACAGACACGGACACTAGAACAGGAAATTGCACATACCAAGAGCGCCTACTCGCGACTAATGTTTATTCGAAAGAAAGGTAGGTACGTGTATATCACTTCTGTCACATGACCTGGCAGTTGAAACAACAAAAAACAAAGAATAGGGGTATAAAACACGTGGCTCAGATCACGTCCTCAGGGTTCTGATGAGATACGAATTTTTTTTCTGTTAACGTGATGGAGGGTGCGCTTACGCATTTCTTCCTACTTCTCCTAATGTGAAATGCCTCTATCAAATCTCTGGTGGTCCGATCTGGGTGTTTTGATAATTGCAACCGCACGAGCTGCAATGTTTGGGCAAGTCTGAACGATCTGTGTTCAACGATCCCCCATGTTCTTGAAACCTGGTGTTGACACATCTTCCCGTCTGGCCTATGTATATGAGACGACAGGACAATGGTATCAAATATACAACACATGATTCACACTTAGCATACGTGTGCCTATGATTCACATCATATCCTCTCCGTTTTCGACCTTTTGCACTTTGCGCTAGTTTTCTATCTATTCTGCTACATAGCTTGTTTCATTGGTTAGGGGCCGAGAAATTTGTTTGGGGCTAAAGTTCTGCGTAGAATCTGTGCGGACCCCCCCGGAAAAGCTTGCACTATCCAGGTCTGTCTCGTAGCGTGTGGAGGAGACCGAACGCACGCGATTGATCACGGACCCGGCGGAAGTGTTCACAAGACCGCAAGGTAACAAAAAATGTTTTCTGCGTCTAAACGACCTAGTCACGTGGGCAG